TGCTTAATCTGAATCTAACCCCTCCTCTAGACCCAACTTTCAGTTTACAGGAAATACAGGGAATGGAGGAGTAAGTTAAATCACACCAAAAAAGGGAACCAAACGCAACTCAGTATGTGGGACAATCTACAAAACAAGTGACCTGGATTGAGAGAGACGAAGGAGGGAGATGTGCGTGTGTTGATTCCTGTGTCCCACCCCGTCCTCACTGGCCCTCTATGCCATTGTTCATGATGAGCACCAACGTGCCTGGCGCCTGTGTGCTGGATGGGTTCCCCTATAAGGTCACCAGCTGGTGCAGGCCCAGCTGGGTCAAGCCGGCCCAGTGTACTGCAGTGCCCGTGGTTCTGAACGAGCTCATCAGCAAGCTGCTCTGTGGCCTACCGGCCAGGAGAAATAAAGAATGACTGGAGGCTGGCAGAGGGGGACATGAAGACATCCACTAAGGAAACAGCTAAACTGGGATTAGATCCTGTTGTAACAATTTACAAGAGACATTTTAGAACTGGGAAAACTGGAATAAAATGTAGATATTAGATGATCTTAAGAAATTAGGTGCCCTTATTATATAAAATGTTAGAGGGATTTATCTAAGAAAAAGATAAAAAATATGAACACAGTAAAATGACAGCAAACTCAGTTATTAACCACACCTGAAAAAACAAAAGCAAACTAAGCAAACAACTAGAATAGGAACAGAACCACAGAAACGGAGATCACATGGAGGGTTATCGGCAAGGGAGAGGGAGAGAGGGGAAAAAGGTAGAGAGAATAAGTAGCATAGATGGTAGGTAGAAAATAGATAGGGGGAGGGCAAGAATAGTATGGGAAAAGTAGAAGCCAAAGAACTCATGTAGGACCCATGGACATGAACTAAAGTGGGGGAATGTGGGTGGGAGAGGGTGTTCAGGGAGGAGGGGAGTGAAGAGGGAAAAATGGGACAACTGTAATAGCATAATCAATAAAATATACTTAAAAAAATAACCCAGTCAGGGCACATGCCCGGGTTGTAGGCCACAGCCCCCAGCAACCGCACATTGATGTTTCTCTCTCTCTCTCTCTTTCTCCCTCCCTTCCCTCTCTAAAAATAAATAAATAAAATCTTTTAAAAATAAATAAATAAAAATTAAAAAGTTGCACTCATACAAAAAAATAAAAAAATAATAATAATAGGAAAGCAGAGTGTGGCTCAAAGTAAGGAATAACTTCCTGACAATTAGAATTTTCTAAGCAAAGACTGGCCTGCTTCATGAGGTAATGAGTTTTGCACTGTTAGAACTCTAAGCAAAGGCTGAATGGTCACTTGGCAAAGATAAAGAATTATATGTTTGGCAATTAAAGAGATCTTAGTGGTCCTTTTTACTCTAAGAAGTTATAATTGCATGCAAAGTTTTCCATTAGCTGGGATGTCAGAAAGTGGTTGTAAATGCTACTGAAGAGCCAGGTGGCATTAAGCAAAAAGATTATACCTATATTAGAGTAATGGAGTTGAAGGGTGATTTACATTATTATATTCTGTGTCAATAATATACACATTACTGATAAAATGAAATGAAATATGATCATTAACCTGATGGAGAGGATTCAAAGTGAATTGGCACGAATGGCATTAGAACCTGCCCTACTGATTTCTGTGCCTAATAAAGAACCTAAGACACACTTTTCCAAGGTGAAATAGCACTGAACATCTCAAAAAGAAAGACAGGAGGCACTACGCTCCCTCTTTTGGCTTCTGGCTGCTCTGTAATTCACACATAAACACAGAAGAAATGTAAACTATGCCCCTGGCCCCCTACAACATGGTATAGAAAATCTTTAACTTTTGGATGCATGAATACTGGGCAGCGGGAAGTGACAAAAGAACTTAGTATCGCACTGGGTTCCCAGAAGGCAGAAGCAAGTGCCGAAGGCCTGTGAAAATTTAACTGACATTTTTTTTAAAAGACTTTATTGCCCTGGCTGGCGTAGCTCAGTGGATTGAGCTTGGGCTGCGAACCAAAGTGTCGCAGGTTCGATTCCAGTCAGGGCACATGCCTGGGTTGTGGGCCACGGCCCCCAGCAACCGCACATTGATGTCCGTCCGTCTGTCTGTCTGTCTCTCTCCCTCCCTCCCTTCCCTCTCTAAAACATTAAATAAATAAAGTCTTTTAAAAAAAGTCTTTAAAAAAAAGACTTTATTTATTTATTGTTTTAGAGACAGGGGAAGGGAGGGAGAAAGAGAAGGGGAGAAACATCAGTGTGAGAAACACTGATCGGCTGCTTCTTGAACACACGCCACTGGGAGCCCGAACCTGCAGCCCAGGCACATGCCCTGACCAGGAATCCAAGATCCTTCATTTTGTGGGACAGCGCCCAATCAACTAAGCCACACTGGTCAGGGCAAAAGATAAACTTTTTAAAAAACAACTTTTTATTATGGAATTTCTCAAATTCATACCAAAGTATATGCAGTATAACGAAACCCTACATACCGATCACTCAGCTAGCTTCATTTATCAACATTTTGTTAAGGCTATTTTCTTTAATTCCCCATACTGTTTTTTCTTTTTTTGAGATTTAAAAACCAACACCTGAGATCATATTGTTTTACCTATAAAAACTTCAGTATGGCCCTGACTGGCCATGGATTGGCTGGCTCAGTGGATTGAGCGCAGGCTGCAAACCAAAGTGTCGCAGGTTCGATTCCCAGCCAGGGTACATGCCTGGGTTGCAGGCCGTAACCCCCAGCAACCACACATTGATGTCTGTCTGTCTGTCTGTCTGTCTCTCTCCCCCTCCCTCCCTTCCCTCTCTAAAAGTAAATAAATAAAATCTTAAAAATAATATGTTAAAAAAAAACACTTCAGTATGAAAAAATACACTTTCTTGCTAATACCAAGTATTTAATAAATGATGTTAGATGCTACAGCTAGGTACTGTTCTATGCATCATACTTGTACTTATATGTAACATAATTTTTATACAAGTTAAGCCTCATTATTATCCTCATTTTATAAATGAGAAAACTGAGTTTTTGTTGGTTCAAGGTCACACAACCAGTAAGCAACGGTGCTAGGATATGAACCCAGAAGTTAACTTTAGAGGAGACTTTACTCTCCTAACTACTAAAGCATGCTGGTTTTCCTCTGTACTAGTTATTCTAGCTGATCCTTATGGGATAGAGTTGTTGTGATAAAATGGGAGAGGGACTGCTGAATGGGGAAGAGATGGGAAAGGATGCTATAAAACAAGCAGCTGCTCATGGCTTTTCTTGTGAAATTTCTTTTCTAAATGCTCCACCTGAGAAAGGAAAACGTACATCTGAATATATTAGTACCTACTGCCTAGGATATAAAAGAAAAGTCATCTTGCCCTGACCAGTGCGGCTCAGTCGGGCGTTATCCTGCAAAGCAAAGAGCTGCCAGTTCAATTCCCAGTCAGGGGACATGCCTGGGTCACAGGTTCGTTCCCCAGTTGGGACACGTTCAAGAGGCAACCAGTTGGTGTTTCTTTCTCACATCAAAGCTTCTCTCCCTCTCTTTCTCCCTCCCTTTCCCTCTCCCTAAAAAACCCCCAAATAAATAATAAAAAAGAAAAGTCACCTCAAGGAGGGAAAAACAACGACCCAGCCTCTTCCACAGAGGCTGAATACTGACAAACTTCTTTTAATCTGTGCCTCCAGTGACTTGGGGTGTGTGGTGGGGGGAGGAGGGTTCCCAGTTCCACCAGATCTTTAAGACAACTCAGCAAAGGGATCTCACAACCAGAGGGCTGAGCAATCAGTATTAGTAATATTTGATTGTTTAACGAAATCTTAGAGTAAAAAAGTAAAAGAACCTGGAATAAAAAATTCTTCCAACTGATGTGTCAAGAGTTTTAAACCTTTTCACGCATAGCCTTATAAAAAAAAAAAAAGAGAGAAAAAAAAGCCCTAATTAATTCAAGATTTGTCAAAGAAAGGGGAGATTCCTCTGATCTTGGGTCAAAAATTCTTCTAAAACCCTCTCTAGTAATTTTAGAGTAACAGAACTACCTATCTTCTCTGTGGGACCCACCTAAGGGCATCCTCCCTCCGCATCTTCCACGCTGCCTACACACAGACAGAAGGGCGCTCTCCCTGCTCCTGCTGCACTTTGCACCTAATTCTATTAGAGCACTGATCAACAGTGCAGTGTAATCATCCTCCCTTCTCTGGGCTCTCCATTCCCGAAGGGTCAAGACTCTACCTCACTTCTCTCTCCGTTCACAATCCCTAATTTTCAAACCTAGCACCAGTGAAAAGTACTTGAAAAGATTTGCTGGATAAGTAAAGACACTAAAGGTGACAGAATATGGAGTTATCTTCATGAGAATTCTCTTACCAGTATCTTTCTAACCTCTGCACCTTCAGTGCAGCCCACAAGTTTCCTTTGAAAGGTTTTCCCATCAGCCAACAGTTCAGGATGAATGATAACATCAACTATAACAGTCTCTTGAGGGCTAGAGAAGGAGTGTAGCAATTTTGGTTTGCAACAGGTTTTAACGAACTAGGAATAATTCAGCTTGAAGGATCTGGAAGGTAGTCAAAGCCTTTCAAGAGCTTTTATACAGATAGCAAGATGCAGGAGGAAATTTGAAATGCTTGCTTTTTTATATTTAAGTGCTAAAGGCAATGGGGAAAATAAATAATTCCAAATAAAAATCAATGATTACTAAACAGTGCCTGGGCATCCACTTCACCATTTTTCAGAAAAGAAAATCCCTAGCAAAAAGTACAGGTCTGGTTACAGCCATCAGCCATGGGGAAGATAGTTTCCATGTACTGGTATGAGTCTCTGGACACCTCACTAACATAGCTAGCCCAGCCGCTTTGAGGATTATCTGGTTAGGCAATCCCTTGGAATGAAAAGTTTTGGATAAGGAAGTTATCTTTCTCACCAACTTAAAAAACTTCAAAGCAATCTCCCAATTTAAGCTATATTACATTGGAAAAAAAAAGTCCTATTGCAGCGTCACATGCCGTACTTTGGTTACCGTGTTACCTTGGTTCGAGTCCATTGGGTCTTTTATATGAGCAAAAACATTCCTGACATAAGTTTGCTTCTTCCGTTCTAGATCTGATTGTGAAAATGTTGGAACATCAGTCCTGGAACAAAGCAAACCAGGAGAAAAACAGTCCATTAGAATTGTGAATAAGTTTTACAGACAGAAGTCATATACTGCTAAACAATTAGAACAATTCACTTTCAGAGGCAAAATACTCTAAGATTCAGTGACAGAAGACTGTTTTAGTCACACAGCACGAAGCTGAAATCAAGTATGGAGTTGGGAGTAAAAAGTAGAAATATATGCAACTATCTAGTAACGAGGCATAGGAAAGTGGAAACTACCTAGTTCCTAGAGAAGAATCTGTTGAGTAATTCAAGGTTAGTCGGGAAATAGCTAACTTCCTTCATAGAGCCACAGAAAAATTAAAGAGATAAACACAGAGAAGAACCAGATGGATCTGGCAATTAGAACACTGGTGACCTTGGCAAGAACAATGTCTGGCCCTTGCTCATACTGACTGCACTATACTGAGGAGTCTGCGAGCGATAATATTGAGATAAGTCAATTTATTACTGTTCCAAGTAGCCTGAGTTATGTTCTCTGGTGTAATTTCCATTGCAAGCAATTTGCAAAGTTTCCAAATTATGTAAACAAAAGAAAAAAAAAGAAAAGGGACTTTAACCTTATTTGTAGTATTTTACATTTTCAAAAGCAGAGTATCTGCATAATAAAAAAATTGGGGAGAGGGAGTACAAGGGGACTAAACATAATAGAAAAAATACAATAAAGACTAAATGAATAAGTAAATGGGAAGACAAATAAAAAACGTTTAAATATCACTGTAAAAAGTCAATGTGACTTAACCCAAAAAACAGTCTCGCTAATCGCAAAAGCCCATGTGAAGACACTGCCATCTCCTGGCAACGAGAGCACGGACTGAAAAGGTGACCCAAATCTGCAAGCTCTGTAGGAACTTTTCCCCAGAACAGTTGTATGCAAGTTGGGAGAGACGACTAAGTGATTTTCTATGTTGTTAGAAAATTATTCTAACCTCCTATCATATCTGTGATCAGGCTTTCCCATACGCAGGAGAAGAAATTTATACAGTGCTTTCACTAATGTCTTTTTTTTTTTTTTCACTGCTTTTAGAGGGAGAGAGAAACTTTGATGTGACAGAAGCATTAAATGGCTGCCTGCCATATGTGCCTGGACCCAGGATCGAACCTGCAACCTAGGTATGTGTCCTGACCAAGAATTAAAATTGCAACCTTTCAGTTATGGGACGACACTGCAACCAACTGAGCCACACCAGCCAGGACACTAATATGTCTTTTTTACTCTTCAAAAATAATCCTGTGAGGCAGCAGAGAAGGCCTCATTAGCCTCATTTTATTGACAAACTGAGGTCAGAGATTATTCGATTTTCCCAGAACTTCAATTATGCTCACTCCTGGGGCAGGGTTTCTGCTCCCCCTACCCCCGCACAAAACAGAGGAACTGAGAAGAGAAACTGAAGAAGAAACCAGAATATTCCATTAGACAGTACCTTGCTTTGGCTTGCAGAACAGGAATGACTTTGCCTATTCTCTCAGGGACTTTCAGCTTCCCAGAGTCCTTGTCAAGAACATCCTTTTTGGAGTGAAAGAAATGCAGAAAGAAAGATGGTTCTTAGTTATAAGAGAATAACTGAACACACTATGGAAATATTCTTGAACTAAAGGCCTCAGAGGCCTATCCTTGATCCTCACTGTGTACCAGGCACTACGCTAATTCTTTAAATGAGAGTGAATATAATCTTAAGGAAAAAAAGAACCCTAAGCAGTAGGGATCATTACATTTATTTGGGACAAAGGGAACCAGGCTTACAGTGGTTAAGTAAATTGTCCAAGACTTTTCAGCTTTTCCAAGGCTGACTCAGAGCGGGTGCTGTACCTAATACGGCAATATAACCAATGACTGAGGTTTAGGCTAAAGCACAAAGAAAGGAAAAATAGTAGTAAAATCATCATCAACTCAGTAATTATTTAATAAGTGGTCATTTAATATGTATATTTGTGTAAATACACTTTATTAATCTTTACTATATCATGAAAGATTATTTACTCTAATTCATAAGTAAGAAATGTGAGGAAACAGAGAGGCTAAATAATCTGTCCAGGGTCACGGTGCTAGACAGGGTTCAAACCCCAATTTGTTTGAAGACAAAGCTCTGCTATAGAGCTTCTCAGTGAAAATAATTTGACTTTTCCTTTCACCTTGGAAAAATATACTTACTTTGTCTGAGGAACTGGAAACGACTGGCAACCTCATTTCACTACTCGACTTATGGGATCCATTTCTCCAGGACGACCCTGTGCGAGGAGTCTCTGAATGGTCCGGGACCTGAGAGCAGACAGGTGTAGGTTTCTTACTATCAGGCGTACTTAGATCAGGGACAGTCTGTTTAAAGCTATTATTTGAAGGAGAAGGGAATGGGGGCCCATCCCAGGCAGAGTCGCTGGGAATGATCCCTTCAGAGTAAGTGCCAAGTCTGCTCTTCTTCGGGCTAACACAGTCTTCTCTCACGTCCTCTCCAAGGGAGGAGGGCTGCTCGACACCTGTGGACGCATCAGTCTTGTCCTTATCCAGCACGGCATCACAAACCGCTGGGTTAAATGGTGCAACAACTGTTAACTTTACATGGTTCTTTTCTAGTGCAAAGGGTCTGTTTAATGGTTTTGTAGGAGTCGGTCCCTGACCAACTGGTGTGTTTAGCTGAGGTAATCTGGAGAGGCCAGGAGTCTCCGCTGCTGGTGCACAGCTATCCAATACATTTTCCTCGTCCTTATCCGCCTGCAGTGACTTCTCCTCTTCCTCCTCGTCTGACTTCAGTAACTCCTCCTCCTCTTCCTCAGTGACACTGAAAAGGCCATCATCTTCTTCTCCTTCACTTGGTTCCAGCAAGGCATCATCCAAAGCGTCCTCATCCAAGGAAGCCCGCGAGGGCACTAGTGAGCACATCATATCTGGAGAAATAAGAGACAGTTTTGCTGAGGGACAGGAACCTTATACCAACTCCAGTCTGCTCTATAGCGGGACGGTGTCCTAACATTTCAAATTCTTTACACTGTGAATTATAATATGAAAAATGACTAAGATATTTAGCTTTATCAGAATCATGGAAATACATATTAGAACAATGAGATACTTTTTTTTTCCTTAGCAAAATGGTAAACATTAAGATAACATAGTAATCCAGTCTGGTAAGGATGGGAGGAAAAAGTACTCACACTCTGTCAGTGAGAGTGTAAGTCTACACAACATTTTGTAGATAATAACTCAGCAATGCCATTTGACCCAGATATTTCACTCCTGGAAGTTTATCCTACAGAAATACCAATACAAACAACACACATGGATACATTTACAAGCACGTCCAAACCAGCATTATCCAAAACAGCCAAATACTGGAGACCACCTAAATGTCCATCACCAGGATAACAGCTAAGTAAAATCATGGCACATTCATGCTATGAAATAGTTTACAACTCCAGGAGACCCCCTTACCTGCAGTTTCACGTTCCAGTTTCAGTCACCTGCCGTTTCAGTTACCTGAGGTCAACCGAAGTTCAAAAATATTAAATGGAAAATCCCAGAAATAATCCCTACGTTTTGAAACACAGACCATTCTGAGTAGTGTGATGAAATTGCATGCCTTCCCACTCCGTCCTGTCCAGGGCGTGAAGTACCCCTTCAGCCCGCACATCCACACTGCACATGCCACCCACTCATCAGTTACCCAGTAGCCATCTCGGTATTCGGGACAACTGTCATGGTACTGCAGTACTTGTGTTTAAGTGACCCTTATTTTACTTAATGGCCCCGAAGTGCAAGAGTAGTGATGCTGGCAATTCGAATATGCCAAAGAGAAGCTATAAATTGCTTCCCATTAAGTTAAAAAGCATGTATATATAGAAAAAAACATAGTACACATAGGGTTCATTAGTATCTACAATTTCAGGCATCCACTGGGGGTCTTGGAACACATCCCCTGCAGACAGGTGGGGACAACTGTATTTAAAAAAGCAATGAGATCTGTATGTACTACCGTGGAATAATATCCACGACATACAAACAAAACAAACCTATATTACATAAAATGGTTGGGTTTTCACAGTTTACGCTTTTTAAAAAAACAAACCTGTGCCTGTTGAAGTTAAAACACACGACTGTAAGAAACGCCTTCCACACTGTGTGGAGCTGCTAGTGTGAGCTCTGCCTTTGTCATGAGCCCAACTGGAAACGTTTCAGCCCCTGTGAGCTGCGCCTTTCAGGAGACTTGTCAGAATGATCGACTCCCACCTTCCTGCAGGCACAAAGGAAATTAAAGATCTTCTCATCCCTTCAACTCTGCTAATTACAAAGTCAACTGTATTATGCTTTTAAGGTGCTCCATCTATTAATTTTCATCTTGATTTTTTTAAATACCAGAAAGTTGGATTCTGAGTCAAGAACATCAAAGAAAAACCTTTAAAGGAAAAATTATGCAACTAAGAAACTAGTTTTGCTCAACAATTTGTACTTTCTTAAGGGTACTGCTTGCTCTAGGAGGACAAATACTGGCTTAGGAGTCCAAAGGCCTGGATTATAGTCTTGGTTCTGTCACTGACCAGCTATAACAATTTGGGCAAGCCACTTAACCATTTGGACTTGCTTCCTCTCTTATAAAATGGAGAAGAGATGGAAAGGGAAGGGGCAGGCAATATCTAAGCTAGTATTTTACATATTACATGTCCACACCTGAGAAGCTGTAAGAAATTATTAACCACCGAACTCAGTAATTTGGAAAACTCATTCTAGCCTTTTGACTGTGAATTCCGCCTACCCCACTTGCCTCCACACCACGCCTGGAATTTTAGCTTTAGTTCCTGCATTCTTACAGAAAACACTTTCTGTGCTCCAATCACCACCCAGCACTGAGCTAGATAACATGTCTCTACGTAATTTCTAAGAAATAAAGATGTGACTTCCACCTTCAAACAATGCATACTCTTGCCAAGGAGACAACAATTTAAAATTACACCCCACTATAAGAAAACACAAAATGGTATGGTCAATACAGTGCTACAGAAAGAGTTAGAAGGGAAGGGAAAAGATGACACAATTTTAAAATTATGGTAACAGGGACCTGTGTAGTACACAGCATGATGATTACAGTTAACAATACTGTATTTTATACTTGAAGGTTGCTAAGAAAATAGATCCTAAAAGTTCTCATCACAAGAAAAAAATTTTAACTCTGTGAGGTGATAGTCATATGGCAACACGTACATACATCAAATCACTGTGTTGAACACCTTACACTAATACAGTGTTGTGTGTCAATTATGTCTCAATAAAACTGGGAGCATAATAAAAGAAAGAAGAAAGCTAGTTAGACTTACTTATCTTAGAAATGAGGTGGGACAGAAAGGGAAGAAATATTAACTATTATAAATCAGGCACTGTGAGACACTTTACAACTCTACTTTATCCCTTCAACTAATCCCTGTAACACAGATCTTATCAAAGAAACAAAATTTTCTGTTGTATTTAATCTTAGAGCTAAGACTTTTTCTTTTACTATACCAGCAATTGTTGTGAGAGTTCCAGGCACTGAAGCAGGTTCCTCTAGGAATAAAAAAGTAATTTCTCTGCCCGGTGACCAAGTTATTTAAAAGGTATTTCTTTAGGCAGAAGTTTACTTTTGGAAATTTCTTTTTCACTTAAAGTTTGTGGCTGTCAATCACAAGTACTTCAGACACTAAGTTTAAGCAACTCCATTTCGGAGAAGCCCTTTCTGGGCCCCTACCCCTACCCCTACTCTCACTCCAACTCCTTCCAAAAGGTCTAGTTCAAGCACCTGCTTGACCAAAGTTCAATAGATTTTCACTCTTGGGAAACCAAAGTTCAGAGGCATAAAGTAACTTAACCAAATACACAGAAGTAGTAATGCTAGAACAAGAACCCAAACTCAAGTCTAATTCCAAAGGCAATGTTGTTTCTTCTTTCACCCCTGTGATAGACTTGCCTAGGGTCAGCCAGCACATGGCAGAGCCTTCTAAATCCACTATACCCTCTAACATACATGAAAGATAGGGACACCAATGAGGGTTTCTGGTGCCTTGGCAAAACTAATTTAAGCCACTTTATTATGCGCAGGCTTCCCCTGGCTTCCCAGGTGGAATGGAAGAACATGAGAAATACCCCTGAATGGGGCCAAAACTCACTGGAAGAAAAACATCATGACTTTACTGTGCATGCACAGGACCAACATCCTCCACAACCACCGAAAACATCAATTCCTATGCCACACTAACATCCAGAGCCACAGAGCTGGCTCTTCTGAGCTTCGCTCCCAGAATGTTCCAAAGGGACTGGGAGCAAAACCATGCACAACAGTACCACATACATATAATTTTTTAAAAAGATTTTATTTATGTATTTTTAGAGAGGGAAGGGAGGGAGATAGAGAGAGAGAAACATCAATGTGCGGTTGCTGGGGGTCATGGCCTGCAACCCAGGTATGTGCCCTGACTGGGAATCGAACCTGCGACACTTTGGTTCGCAGCCCGCGCTCAATCCACTGAGCTACGCCAGCCAGGTATACATATAATTTTTAACTTGCACAAATCATTCTCCTAATTTTACCTCCTCATTTTAAAACATATTCATAATTTAAAACATACACAAAAATAACATAATAGCATAATGAACCCTCACATACCCATCACCCAACCCCAACAACTATCATCGACATACCACTAATTTTACCCCATGGACCTCCCCACTTAACCGGATTATTCTGAAGCAGATACCAGGCATCACATCATTTCATTTGTAAGTAATGAGAAGTCCTTATCATAAAATATCTGGCTTAGACTTCCAATTACTCTATAAATGTCATATATTTTTAAAGATTCTTAAAAATCAGTATCCAAATATGGTCCTTACATTGCAATTGGCTGATGTTTTGTATTTTAATCTACAGATTCCCCATTTTTTGTAATTTGTTAAAGAAACAATACTACAAATTGTATATGCATAGATATATATTATTGAGTTATAAAAACATGCATACAAAGAAGAAAAGCCAAATTCAGGATAGTGGTTATCTCTGGTCATGGGGAGGGAAGATGAATGGCTGGGGGCATAAGAGGTTCAATTCTACCCGTTTTCTTAAACAAAACAAAGCCCTAAAACAAATGTGGCAACGGAAGATAAAGCTAAATGGTGGGTATCGTGGTATTCATTACTATTGGTATTCATTCCTATAATTTTTATATGCTTTAAATATTTAATAATAAAAACATTTTTTATCGTAAATTCCTAAGGGCAGATCATGGTGGGTAGTCACACCTCAGGTCTGTAACTTCTTTTTTTTAAAGAAATATTTATTTATTCATTTATTCATTTATTTATTTTTAGAGAGGGGAAAGGAGGGAGAAAGAGAGAGACAGAAACATCATGTGTGGTTGCCTCTCAGATGGCCCCCACTGGGGACCTGGCCTAGCAACCCAGGCATGTGCCCTGACTGGGAATCGAACCTGCGATGCTTTGGTTCGCAGACCGAGCTCAATCCACTGAGCTACACCAGCCAGGGCTAATAATAACATTTTTAAATGAGAAGCCAGTGGGGATACAATGATTATATTCTGAAGTTTCAAATGTCCTCCCCGGTAAAACGGGGTCCACCATAACACCTACCTCACGGGGTTGTTGGAAGAATGACATGAGATTGTGAACACAAAGCACTCAGCACACCACAGGCACCATGTAAAGGCTGTATAAGTAGTGGCTATCAATTACTTCACCCCATGCTCATCACCTCTCTGACCCGTTAAGGGTGTTAAGAGAAGCATACCAATGACAGGAAAAAGAAAAGTGCTAAACTGGTACGGAACTTCTCCTAGTCCCGGCTTGTTAAGAAATGATCCGGTATGCTCTAGCAGAGTGTCTAACCCACAGCTGCCAGTTGCATGCAGCCCAAAAGAAAAGTCACAAATTTACTTAAAACCTTTTTTTTTTTGCTCATCGTTTTTTGTTAGTGTTTGTGTACTTAATGTGTACAAGACAACTCTTATTCTTCCAGTGTGGCCCAGGGATGCCAAAAGGTTAGACACCCCATCTCTTCTTGTTTAACCCAGCATTCAACCATTCTGACACTAAATTAAAGGCCAGGTTGTACAGACATCTAAACTGCAGGCAGATTCTGCAAACTAACAATGAAGTATCTTATAGAGAGGGGCTAAATTAAAATTCAGAAACGTCAGCAATTCACTTGAAGTCTCTGAACCTTAATACAGATGAGAATACTCATCTGAAAAAATGGGAATTATTCACTGTTAACTTCAAACACAGGTTATCATGAGATTCAAATGAGGACAAGTTTATGAAAGCAGTCTAACCCTAAAAGCCCTATACTAACGTAAGCTGGTATTTAATGCATTTGCGGGGGGGGGGGGGCAGGAATCTCAGATAAAACTGAAGTTCTGAAGTTCAGTTCCACAAGACTGCCTTAGTACTTCTGTCTGCCATTGTACCATCATCATCTGCCCTTCTTGGTACTTACTTTGTAAGCTCCACCAAAGTATGAGGATCTCTTTATTTTTAAGGGAAGAATATTTCCCGTCTCCCAACTCTCTCAATTCCTCTGCTCCCCACCCCTTCTGTGACCCTATTCTGTCCTTCCACGTCTCTCACTTGTCCACCCCCTTCTTCACACTTCAGTTTACCACGCCCACCCTGCCTGTTCTCTAACCTCCCGGTTGCAACCTCAGAAACTGGTTCCCTTCCTATTTTTATCATACCTAAGAAACCTACTGCCTTAAAGCACAAAGCTTTATTTTATTCAGGCCACTAAAACTGCAACACCAGACACGACCCCGTATCCCTCTCTCAAGGCTCTAAAACTAAGAGCGCTACCAACCTGGATCTGACAGATAAGAGCAAGGACTATTTCCAAGGGACAGGACTTCCCCACTGGCCTTTCATTCCCGACCTTCCCCATATGCCTTGCACTCCGTAGGTTTTACCGCCCTATAAAAGGGACAGATATAAAGTTTAAACAAGATCAAAGTGAGCTGCAATTATCTGTAAGAATTGTGCAACTCCCTTTGAGGTATCTGAAAAGGCTGTAGGACAGAAAAACAACCCAGAGCTGGAAATCTCTGCTAAAGGGCCCCAGGGCACTCCTCCCACACAGACATGGGAGACCAATATCTAAGCCGCAGCAACAGGTTTCTTTTTAAAAAGAAATTTTAAAAAATTAATTCAGACACCTTTGCTAAAGCCTGGAGCCTGTAACATATCCACAAGAAACTGGAAGTCAGGTGGGGGTAGCAGGTGGGCAATTCAATCACTTTCTGGGTTCACCCTGCGTTCCAATTGCCCTCCCTTCGGCCCAGGAAGGAAATGGTGGGCACCTCCAGTTCTTGAGAGCCAGGATGAAGAGTGGCCTAAATCCACCCTTAGGAGGTTGCCGCCTGACCTCCCCCAGCACTGTCTCAGAAATGCCACAGCCGCCAGAACAGCATCGCCCCGGGACACGGCCTTCGCACTTCCCTCCTCCCTGCTCCAAGAGACCAGAAATTCCCGCCTCCCCGCGGAAGGCGGGAGAAGCTCTGGCTTGATCTCCGCCCCTCCCCCAACAGGGGCAAAACCGGACCGTCTGCAAGCCCGCGTCAGCACCAGCACCCCTCTTCCTGAGGATGGCTACCCGCATACACACCGCAGCGGGACCAAGGCCCCCACTCCCCCGGGTGGCAGGTCGTGCTCTCCTTCCCCCACCCGGCAGAAAGACCACTATCTCCTCCCCAAATACAACCACCCCCCCAGTGGTCCAGGGGGGGCAGCGGCACAGCGGCATCACCCGCCCGCTTACACTTCCATCCCTCCCCATCCCGCCTAGGCTGGGAGAACCGACGTCACTCCCCGCCTCTCAGGCCGCGGAACAACCTCCCTTTTCCTCTGCAGGGTGAGGGGCACCTATAGCCCGCCGACGTGGAGGTGGGGGCAGGGACACTCCCCTCCTCTTCCCTCCCGCCGCCATCACCTCAAGAATGAAAACGAGCCCTTCTCCCAGCAGAGTGAGGGACTCCCAACCCTCTTAACGGGGCGGACAGCGTACGTGGTCCCCAGAAGAAGCAACAGGCGCCCCCATCCTCCTTCCAGCCAGGGAAGGTCGACCCCTCGCCCCTCCCACTGTTCACCTCCGGAAGCCGGGCCGAAGCCTAGGCGAAAGACCTCGCCTCACTCCGCCCCCTGCGCCATTTTATCGCCCCTCTCCCCGACCTCCCCCACCCTAACGCGGCCCCGGCGGCTCCAGGGGGTGGGCAAACAGGCAGTGATTGGCAGGGATAGGCCCCGCCTCCCAGAGGGTGGAGCCCCGCTGGCGCCGTAGCCCCGCCCCCTGAACCGCCTACCCTAACTGCAAGCTCCACCTCTTCTCGTCTCATCGAACCACTCGACTTTCTGCTTCTCTTGACTTCGGACCACTTCCAGGCGAAAGGTGCAAGCCTGGGGAGCCGAGCGACGAGCTCAGCTGATGCAACCTTACTAGTCCCGCAGTACATTTCCCGGCACGCGGCGGCAGCTGCGGTGGTGGCGGCGGCATCGACCGAGGAAGGGGCGCGGGGTGCCGGACGGAGCACGCTAGACAAGAGTGACGGAGCCATGGGGGATGCTCCGAGCCCAGAAGAGAAGCTGCTCCTTATCACAAGGAACCTGCAGGTTGGGCCTTGTAATTGAAAACGCGTTGCTGGGGACTGGGGACCTGAGATTTAGAGATCCGGAGCCGCACTACTAAGTGTATGGGGCCAGGGCTCCACGCCAAGGCATCTGTGAGGCAGCCTTCAGTCCTCATTGTTGGTCGGTCACTCACTCACTCAGTCCATTATCTGGGTACCACAAAAATCACATGGGCTTAACATACCACCTACTATTATGTGCTAGGCGCTGGGGATGGGGATGTACCAAGGCCTTGCCCTTCCAGAGCTTGTCTGTAAGGAATGAGACGTTAAAAATGACCTGTAACCCATACAGTTAATTGTAACTAAAGAAAGTACTGGAAGTTACTATACATGGGACTTTGCAAGGAAATTAAGGTGGAGGGCTGGTCAGGGAAGGTTGAAGAAGTGTCCCCTAAACTGCGCCCTGAAAGCCCTGAAGGATGCGCATCCCTCTTCACTCCACAAAGTTCCTACTGTTTCCAGAAACAGCAGGAGTAGAAGTTAACCAGTGGAAGAATGGGGTGTGGGAGTACATTTCAGGTAGCAAGAACCCACATCAAGTCTCAGAGGAGGAAAAGAACACTGATTCAGAGAGAAGGCTGACTGGGCTGGAGTAGAGTGAGCAAATAATCAGCACTTGATAAGTATTTCTGTGTATCGTTCATACTGCTCATTCCATTGCCTCCTTCAGGCCCCTGACCATTGTCACCTCTATCTGGAAGACCTTTCCTGAACCACATGTTTTCATAACAAATTCCCTGCCACCAGAACTGTCTCCACCCCCTGCTCTGCCTTTTTTTTGTTGTTGTTTCTTCATAGAACTTGTCATCATACTTGGTACTTGTTTATTTGGGAGAGGTAGCAGGGGCCAGGTCATGAGAGCCTTTGTGGACCTGTTTAAAATTGGGGTTTTATTCTAAGAGCAATGATTAGGACACAGATTTTTTCTAGATACAATTCAGATACCATAAAATTCACCCTTTTAAAGTGTAAAATTCAGTGGGTTTTATCGTAGTTACAAGGTTGTGCAGTTATCACCATTGTCTAATTCCAGAATATTTTCATCACTCTCAAAAAACCTATATCCCTTAGCAATCCCTTTTCATTTCTCTCCTCCCCCCAGAACTAGGGAAACACTAATCTACTTTGTCTCTATGTGTTGTTTGCCTATTCTGGACATTTTGTATAAATGGAATCATACAAAATGTGGCCTTTGTGTTTGATGTCTTTCATTTAGCATATTTTCAAAGTTCAACCATGCTGTTATACCAATCAGAACCTCATTCCTTTTTAATGGCCGAATAATATTCCATTGTATGGATTAACTGTGTTTTGTTCATCCATTCACCAGTTGATGGACACTTGAGTTATTTCCTCTCATAAGTTGATCTTAACCAGAGATTCTTGCGTGCTTCCCCTTAGTCAGTTCCTTTGTTTCGTAGCCTTTCTCCATAAAGTGGTGCTGGTTAGGAATAGAGGATATACAAGACTAAGGGCAGTGACTCACTCAGATTTTAAAGGGTGAGTGATAGACCTTTCCTTAGGTGGTAAGAACCTCCAAGTGTCCAAATAGGGGCTCAGAGGATGCAGGATCAACCTCCGACCAGCTTGGAGCACAGAATTTTAACAAGTTCTTCTAATGTCCATGGATTTGTTCCCATGGGGTCCAACAGCCTCCCCAGTCGTCCTTGAAGAAACACTAAAATCTCTTTATCTGCAGCATACTGGACCATTAGGATTTTTCCAATATGTCTTAGGGCAAGTGGAAATTATTAAAGAATTTAATAATTAAATAGGTAAATGAGTTCATCAGATTTTGGATGTTAAAGATCTCTCTGGCTGCCTTTTGGAGCACGGATTGCGGAAAACAGGAGTAGATATGGGAGACCTGTAAGGAGGCTGCTACAGCAATCTTGGTGTGACCTGATGGTGGCCTAGACTAGGTTGATGGAATAGAGGAAGAGAGAAGCAGGAGGGTGTAAGAGCTCTTTCGGAGTAACTTGTGCACCTGAGTGAGTGATAGTAGCATGTACTGAACCAGGGGTGAAGCCGTAAGTGAAAGGGATGGCTGGGGAGTCAGGCAGAAAGGAGAGGGTGTGAGTTTAATTTTGAGCACACTGAGTTTAAATTAACTGGATTACTGACAGGTATGAGGGTAGACCCCCCCAAAATGGAATTTATTTATAAAAAATTGTGTATTCTTCCATGTTTAAACTTCAGTCACCTTCAGAGTGTTTTCCGTTTGATGCAACACACCTATTGAGACATTTTTTCCACTGCTCAAAACAGGGGGTTTTTTTTATTGTATTTTATTGATTATACTTCTTATTGTTCTGCTTGGTTGTTTTTTGCTTCTTTATGTTCCAAGTGATTGGTTTGATTCTCAGCTTCACCCACTCTACTGTTGTTTCCCTGTAAATTGTTCTTTATTTCAGGTAGTGTACCCTTCACTTCTGACTGGATCTTTTTTATGCTGTTGAGGTCCTAACTAATTCTTGAGCATCCTTATAATCAGTGTTTTGAACTCTGCATCTGATAGATTGCTAATCTCTATTTTGTTTAGTTCATTTTCTGGAGTTTTGACCTGTTATTCTCTTGGGCCATGTTTCTTTGTCTCCTCATTTTGGCAGCCTCCCTGTGTTTGTTTCTATGCTATTATTCCCTGTCTTGGTGGCATGGCCTGATGTTGCAGGTGTCCTGTAGGGTCCAGTGGCACAGCCTCCCTTATCACCCAAGCTGGGTTCTCGAAGTGTGCCCTTCATGTGGGCTGAGTACACCCTACTCTTGTAGTCCAGCCTTGGTTGCTGTTGGCAGGTCAGTGGGAGGGATTTACCCAGGCCCGTCAGCTGCAAGAACTGCCTGTGGCACTGACCACTAACCTCTGCCCTCTGTGGAGGATCAGCTGTGCAGGGACACGGTGATGATGCCCCAATGTGGTTTGTAGCTGTCCTCTGGGTGCACTGGCTCTGGGGTTTCTCAGGTGGTACAGGCCAAAGACAGCCCCCACCTGTGTTCTGCCCAGGGCTACCGTGCATGAACCACAAAACAATCTGCAGATGGTTGGTACTTGTGTGGAGCTTGGAGGTTCCCAGGCAAAGCCAAGTTGTGAACCTGAGCTGGCTGCTGCTAATGCTGTGCCTGGGGCCACTTACCAGAGGTTCAGGAGCTGGGAGCTCACTGAGGCTGACTGTTGCTTGTTTGATAGGATTTAGGAAGTTGTGAAATAAGAGCCAAGACTAGCCATTCATATGGAAAAGCAGCTTGGGTGGGCCTGTAAATCGGGTGGGGCGGAGTCTCTGGGGATCTCCAAGGTGGGTCAAACAGTGTTAGCCAGGTTGATGGAGTCTC